ATACCATGCAACAAGCGCGGAGTTGCAGTGCGCGAGTATTGCTGTATAGATAGAGCTGGGAGATGTTAATATATAGCTAGCCTGTCAATGAATGCCGCGGGCGCAAGAGAATTTAATGTGTTCTACTGTCTAACGTAATGTATAATCATTAGGTAAAGCCCAATTTGTATGTGGCATGCGTAGTAAACAGGAATGGCTAAGTTTAGAGGCGGTCCCGTGTAGCCTACATCTGTGCTTTCAGCCCGCAATACTCAAAAGTATTTCGTGGCTATGGTTTTGCAATGTCGCCTATCTACTGGAACGAAATTTTTTTTCTTCGGAATTTCCGCCTGGATTGTTCACAACATTCGTCGTGGTAGATTCCAAACAACAAGAAATTTTCCTTTTGGATGGTAATATACTCAATGATGGGAGTACAGTGTATTGGCTATGCCCCGCTTACACTAGTTTTAGCTCTTTCCTAGTCCCATGCTACAACGCATGTAAACAGGATTGGCTGAGTTAGAGGCGTCCGTGTAGGCCTTAACTGTGCATTCCGCAATACTCCTTAGAGTACTGATGTGTATCCATATATATCAGTGATTATGAGTAGCTGATTGGAGCTTGTCATACGATGAGCATGTCATACTCATACGTTTGTATGACCCGCCGCGCACGAAGTGCGCGGCTCCCCCTGAATCGTCGACTTATAGTGAAGCGAACCGCGGGGGTCACCACGTGATACAAATTGGAGCTTATATCACTAAGTTTTAGTGAATGAAAAATCCTAGCGTCCCCAAAACGAAACACGGGCGCAATACTGTGCAAGATGATGTTCATAATATACTAAATAGTGGATGTCCTTCTTTGTACGGCAAGTAAAGACAATGGAACATGACAACTACTACGGATACCGATCAGAAATCCACTCTGCAACCCGTGTCAATATGTTTTCATTATTAATGCCGCCTCTTGATATATATCAACCAGTATAAGACTAAAACTATATCTGTATATAACTAATTACGATTTATTCCAAAAAAAATTTATGGCTTAAAATGCCTATATACAAAAAGAATCAGTTTTATTTTTGAAATTTTTTTTACAGAATCGTAAACACACTATTTATTCATGTAATAAGATAATCACTTTTTCTTCAGAGATTGTGTTTTGTTGTATAATTACTCCTATAAACTACTAACGGTACACGGAGAAATTGGTTTATATTTATTTATCGAAACGAACAATAATAACGTCATTATAAGGACAAGAAGATTTATTAAACTATTCATACTTAACAAAACATCATTTTTACCATATCTATATTAAAATCTTGGTTTTATGTCAACATAGAAATATCACATTGCTCCGCAATACCAGAATTCTATGCTAAATAAACAAGAATTAAGCACGGACAAGGTAATACAAAGCTGTGAAGTTGAGGAGCCCGTTAAACCCAAGGTTACCTGAGCGGGTACAATTAGAGTTTGTAATAGAATAAAATTAGAGGAAGTGTGTGTCCAGAAGAGTACAGTGTCTAGAAGAGAGCGTATATAGCTGCGAAATGAGGGGCATGGAGTAGAGCTGTCATGCTCACTGCACTGTTCACCTTCAGTGCACGTTTCCCGCGGCACTTTTTTATCGGTCCTTACTTGTGCAACTGAACAGGGTCCACATCCATCCGTTTGCTGCGTGAAATCTGCCTCTAACGCTGCCGCTGTCCCGGCCTAGAAGTAAATTTATTTTTTAAATTAACAACTATTACCGTACAAGGATTTCAAATTTTACACACAAAAAGGTGACCATGCCCTGACTTAATACCAATAAAGTTACTGCTCCTTTATAAACTTTACGTGGTTGCACACGTGTGCTGTCATGCTCCGCCTTACTCTTGCAGGTGGTCATCGCAGCAATTTGCCACAAACTCGTCAGTTTTCCCACTCGTAATTGGCACACTCGAAGACGTCAGCCCGCTACCCTTTTCCACGTTACAGCTTGCAGTGGCACATTCTTCACAGTCTGTGCATCAGCACCAGCACATTCACCACAACCGTAATCGTACGAAGTAATTCCTGTCTGCGTATTAAATTCCGGCCTGAAATTAAACATTGATAATATCGGCTTCATTGTAACATAATTAATTACTAAGATTTATAAAGAATTCGATAATTCACTTTATTGATAAAGCGCTCTCAAATCAATGAATTAGATTTCAAGTATTTCATTAAGGGCAGATACACCAACAATGTTTTGCTCCGTACACGATTTTATTTTCTATTATGGTTAAATAGACAAACAGAATAAAAATTCACACCTTCAAAATTTTTCTAAAAATGATTCCCGTCATCGAGAAAAAAAAAATGTTTTATCTTTTTTTCGTGAAATTTTAAATATAGAGAAGTCTGGTCACTGTAATACCGATAGTTCGGCCATTTTAAAAGTTTTTTGCTATTTTTTTTACTGACATTACATACCATCCGTACAAGAAGCCATTGAAAGAGTATAAAATTAAACAATAAATGCAAGTTACAGACCAAACAAGGTCGAAAAAAATAAAAATTGGGATTTTTCCCATTTCTAAATTTAGTACAATCACCAATCACCCGGGCAGCGAATATTCGCTCCAAAAATTCTTGTGAGTTAGCTGATGATCATATCAACGTGTATGGAGTAGGAACTTTCTCTCCGATTTGAGTTTTAAAGCAATGCAATGATGGCCACAAACGACTTTTTTTTTGAAAATATTTTTACAGAATCGTAATCAGGCAACTTGGTCGATTAGCTCCGACAGTCTATGCAAACGTCTATGCAACCGTCCATGCTACAACAAAAGAACCGTCTATGCAACGTCTAGCCCGTCCCTGCACATGAACTCTCTGTGCACCCTCCCTGCACGGTACAGTCTATGCAACGTCCAATGCACCGTCTATGCAACGAGGGTCTATGCAACGTCCCTCCCTGCACAGTACCATATGAACACCGGCTACAAGCCGGCCCTAGTTAGCCACTTTTGTAATAACCGCTCCTCAACTCACATACCAACCCGGCTAACTACCGCAACTTGAAAAGTGGCACTAGCCGGCTACTAACCGCTACTAGCACGGCTAGTGAACCACAAAGTGGCTACTAACCGGCTACAAGCGGTCACTAGCCGGCTAATTAGCCGAGCACTAAAGCAGACCTACTAGTAGCCGTTCCAAACCGGCTACTAGCCGGCACTTTAGAAAGTGCGTGAGCACTACCGCTACAAAACCGTGCCTACTACCGGCTATACACCACACACACACACGATCTAACCGTGCGAGAGCGAGCAGGGGGGGGTGGGGGGGTCGGGGGTCGCTGGGGGTGTAGGATGGGGGGGAGGGTGCGCGTATCACACACACACACTTAGGTACACATTGAGAGCGCGCGCTTTGTGGTCACTACAGGGCTAGTCGCCGGTTTAGTAGCCGGCGAGAAGAGCGCGCCGCGAGAGATTCAACACCGTGAGAGTAGTAGCCGGTTTGTAATGTGGAAGTTGAAGGAGACTGTTGTGGTAAGCAAAATGGGCTGACTGCGGCGGGGCTAGTAAGCCGGGTTGTTCATGTGGGCTGGGGTGCAGGGGACGTTTGGCTTAGTCGTGGAATAGAAAGGGGAATGGACTTGCTGAATAAGGGTACAGGGGTGCTGGGTGGTGTGGCATATGTGGGGGGGGGGTGTAATTGTGGATGGAAGGTGGATTAGGGAGGGGAGAGGAACGGGTTCTTTTGTGTTGTTTGCAATGACGTTGCATGAACGTTGCTTAGACTGTCAGGAGCTAAACGAACAAGTTGCCATGATTATATTTAACTGAATTATTAACATGTGAGCGAGAGATAATATAGTGTGTGGGGGGAACACACACCACACACATAAACATCAATTCTCTGATCTTGAGGTTATGAATTAGAATTAATGGGGGTTTGGAGAGTGATGGGCGGTGGGGAGCGAGCAGCGAGCATAATGTTTGTAGAGAGTCTGATGTAAAGGTGATTGGGTGTATATTAAAAATTATGTTGGGGGTTTAATTCTAAAATTGGTTTTTTTCGACCTTGTTTGGTCTGTAACTTCGTCATTTATTGGTTAATTACATAATCCTTTCAATGGCTTCTTGTACGGATTGTAAGTAATGGTGTCAGTAATTATTTGATGGAATTTTTTTAGTGTTATATATGGGAAGATATATAGGTTGTTATGGGGTATGGTAGGTATAATTGTGTTTATTTTTTTAGAGAGTCTCAAGAGGAGAACGAGTTGGGGTTGAGTGAAGCAATGAGGGATTTATATATGGTGTTTTGGTTGAAGGGGTCATGTTGAGTAGGGGGGGTTTGGGTTATTTTTTTGTTTTTTATTGCAGTGGAGTGAGGCTGAGAGAGACTGGGGTGGGTGGTTAGGAAAGTTGGAGAGGGGAGGTGGAGGAGAGGGATTTATCTCTATTGAGATGATTGAGTGAGCGCAGGAGAGAGCGAGAGTCTATATCTCTACTATCTATCTGATATTATGTTTCTATCTATAGCGTGTTAGGTATTTTTGTGGAGATCGGTGAGAGTGCGCGTGCGAGAGAGAGATGATTGGGGGGATGGTGATGAAGGTTATGGTATGTAGGATGATGGGGGTTGGTGTAGGAGAGGTGGTAGGGGGGGGGTGATATGGAGGTGCGGTGAAGAATGGTGAAAGGGGGCAATAGGCAAAGAGTATTAAGGGGTTTAGGTAGTGCGTGTGAAGTCGGAGTGGGGAATTGTAAGTGGAAGATCATATGGGTGAGCGTAGGGGGATGTGGGGGTATATTTGTGGTGAGTTGGGGGGGGAGGGGGCAGGGGGGGGTGATGTAATGTAATACAGCGTATGAGGTTGGGAGTGATGGTATGTTATAGGGATTATTGGTTGGGTGTTTGGTATTGGTTAGGGTAGGGTGTAGTATGCTTGGTAAACTTCTTTTTGTGTGTAAAATTTGAAATGCTTGTACGTAATAGCTTGTAATTTAAAAATAAATTTACTTCTAGGCCCGGTACAGCGGCAGCGTTAGAGGCAGATTTCACCGCAGCAAACGCAGGATGTGGACCCTGTTCAGTTGCACAAGAAAAGACCGATAAAAAGTGCGCGGAAACGAGCACTGAAGTGAACAGTGCAGTGAGCATGACAGCTCTACTCCTGCCCCTCATCGCAGCTATATACGCTCTCTTCTAGACACAGTACTCTTCTAGACACACACGTACTCTAATTTTATTCTAATACAAACTCTAATTGTACCGCTCAGTAACCTTGGTATAACGGCTCTCACTTCCAGCTTTGTAAACCTTGTCCTTGCTTAATTCTTTGTAATTAGCAAGAATTCTGGTAAAGCTGAGCAAAGTGATATTTCTAAGTTGACAAAAACAAGATTTAAATAGATATGTTAAAATGATGTTTTGTATAATGTGAATTGTTTAATACATCATCTTTCCTTAAATTACTTTATTATTTCGTTTCGAAAATAAATAAACAATTACTCCGTGTACCTGTTAAGTAGTATGAGGAGTAATTATCCAACAAAACACAATCTGAAGAAAAAGTGATTTTCTTATTACATGAATAAATAGTTGATTACGATTCTGTAAAAAAATTTCAAAAAAAACTGATTCTTTTTGAGATATAGGCATTTTAAGCCATAAATTTTTTTTGGAAAACGAAATTAGATATATACAGAATAGTATTAGTCTATTACAGGTTATATAAATCAAGAGGCTTGCATATAATAATGAACATATTGACACGGGTGCAGAGTTGAGTCTGTACGGAACCTAGTAGTTTCAGTTCCTTGTTTAACTTGCCGTACAGCAAGGACATCCACTACTTTAGTATATTATGAACATCATCATTGCAACAAGAATTGCGCCCGTTGTTTCGTTTTGGCGGACGCTAGATTTTCATTCACTATAACTATAGATATAAGCTCCAATTTGTATCACGTGGTGACCCCCACGGTCGCTTCACTATAGTCGACGATACAGGGGGAGCCGCGCACTTCGTGCGCGGCGGGTCATACAACGTATGAGTATGACAAGCTCCAATCGTATGACAAGCTCCAATCAGCTCACTTCATAATAATATGGATACACATCAGTACACTATGAGTATTGCTGAAAGCACAGTGTAAGGCCTACACGGACCGCCTCTAACTAGCCAATCCCTGTTTACATGCCGTGTAGCAGGGGACTAGAAAGAGCTAAACTAGTAAGCGGGGCATAGCCAATACACTGTACTCCCATCATTGAGTATATTACCAACCAAAAGGAAAATTTTCTTGTGTTTGGAATCTACCAAGACGAAAGTTGTGCAATCCAGCGAAATTCCGAAGAATCGTTCCAGTAGACTAGGCGCATTGCAACCATAGCCACGGAAATACTTATGAGTATTGCTGAAAGCACAGTGTAAGGCCTACACGGACCGCCTCTAACTAGCCAATCCCTGTTTACTACGCATGCCACATACAAATTGGGCTTATTACCTAATGCTATACATTACGTAGAACACATTAAAATTCTCTTGCGCCGCGCATTCATTGACAGGCTAGCTATATACATCACATCTCCGCAAGCAATACTCGCGCACTGCACTCCGCGCTAGTTGTCATGGTAACGGACGAAGGAAGTAAGGAATGACACCATATTTAAACCCACCTACCGCTATCTCCAAAATCCACGTTTTTCTGCAAAAACGTCCATTCGTAACCTTTCACTATTGCCTTTTTACAGAAGGGTGAACGGAAAAAATAAAACCCAGTCCATCATGGGACTGAAAAAATTAGTTGACTTTCGATTCGAAAGAGTTAAATTCTAGATCATCCATGTTAAATAATTCGTAAGTTTTGTTTGAGGTATTTCTTGATCCTCTAATTGCTAATGCACAATAAAATTAATTTCCTAATTAAAAATGATAATTTACACCGATAATAATTTGAGTATTATACCCAACATTGACCGGCGAACTGATAGCTACTTCAGAAGCAATGAAACTACAATCTTCTAGATAAAATGAGTCATAGTACTTTCAGCCGGAGCCATCATAAGTGACATAAATCTAAAAGATAGTATGGTTAGTTTCTAAATATAAACTCAAACTCTGAAAAGGAAACTGCCGTGAAATATGAAACATCAATAAAAGGACCAATTATTTAAAAAAATAATTTATGGAAAGCCCCTCAGGCAAAATAAAAATCAATTATGCAATAAAGGAATCTTAAAAGGGTTTGTACTATTCATTCCTGAGGGGCGGAGGGAATTTAAGGCATGTATATATCGGTGCTCCTTAACATCTAAACTACTAGGACTTGAATTTTCTAGGATACACACTGAAACACTATTGTTAAAATTTTCCTTCTGAGTCAGTCCATGCTCTATATGGAGGTGGAGTCCTATAAGTCCGATAATAATTTATAATATCGTTGTAATTATGCTTCTTCTTATAAGCAAGTTTGTTGCAAAACAGTTTTTAAAATGTCCTGGCTTGAGGTCCCATGTTGACTGATGTTACTCGTCTAAATTTCTTCGAAGTAGCGCGCGCCGCTTTCTTCTCGATGGCACGTGCTACTTCGTAGCGCGCGCCTTGTCATATGTTGTATGACCCGCCGCGCACTTCACCACGTGATACAACACGCGCCGGGCCAGACCATTAACAATGGTCAAGGTCCCATGCCACCTGTTACTGAATAAATTAATGGAGCGAATGATCCGTGCTCTACATTAAGTATTCTCTCGTTGTAGCATCGTGTTTTCTGTCTCTCTGCTCTTGGCGTTCTCCATGTTCTTCTTTGTCGACTGTTGAAGGTAGCTGGTAGGAATTAGAATTAGGATTAATTACCTTAACATCGAAAAAAGCCAATTGGCCCGGCTTATAGAAACCACTCGAGCTCTAATATCCGGTTTTGCCTGGTCACCCGTAAGTGTTGAGGACCTCTTTGCTCTTGAACTGCTCTCCTTCTAGTTCTTAAAGCTGAGGTTCAACTTCCGCGTCCGAGCAAACAGTCTTCACTCTTCAGCAAGCCTGCTAAAAAATTCCTAATTTCGTTGTGTCTGATAATGATGTAGCCACCAAGATGGCAATTTAGAGAATGGTACTTCACATCAAACGTTTTTCCGCATAGATATTGTGATGGTAAACGATCCAGATTTAAGTTGTACCGCAATCTGATAGAATCCCTAAATTCAGATTTATTTAGAACGAAACCATGTTTTATTAGTGGTAGACATTTGACCATTGTTAATGATCTGGCCCGGCGCGCGCTACTTCGTAGCACTTGCCAACATTTCGAGAAGAAAGCGGCGCGCGCTACTTCGAAGAAATTTAGACGAGTAACATCCGTCAAGTAGACATGAAAGCCAATTTGAGCTCACTGGTTCGCTTATCTGCTCCAAAACCCTTGCAGTCTTCTTACCAACCTTTTTAAGTATCTCCTCTTGTTGTTGTTTATATTCCAAAACACGCTGTTTTAACATATCTTGAAGCTCATTTACTGGGCCGCGCTCGATCAGCCTGTCATTCCGCCTAATCTCTATTTGTTAATGAACATAATAGCCTGGGGTCCTCAGGTAAGAAGCTCATCAGTCGATTCCATGTCGGTAGTACATAGTAGCAAGAGATTTTCCTTTCATGGAATTTACCAATCCCCGGGTTACCAAAAGCGATGCAGCATGTTCTCTTTTCGCTAGATACTCCAACTGTGGCATTACCATACCTCCGTTCTTTAATGGTAATGACATAAGCTTTCGGTGTATAGGAGATACTGGACAACCAAATATAGTTGGAATAATTAGCTCATGAGTGATTATTTTATCAAGAGGGCCCATATAAGACATAAAAGCTGATATCTAGTGTCCTCATAAAATATGAAAATTTGTGGCGGACACCGTGTGTAAAACAAGCGTAGGCTGCCTGAGGCCGAGCGTGCTAAATCACTCTACAGTCGATCTTCGAGATTGTTGTAAAAGGGCCCCCGACAGTTTAAATCAACTGCAATCGATGTATTTTCGGACGCTGATTCCGAATCACCGTCCATGACATAGGGTTAAAATGCTCCCCTGACGAGATATTGGTGATTGGCGGAAAACTGTCTCGATCACGTAATATTACCGCATAAGGAAGTTAGTCTAATTTCTCGTTAGGGTTAGAGTTTCAGCATATGCTTTTGTTACGGATTGGGGTAAGGGGTTAGGTTTGGAATAGTCGTTCAGGACCAGCTAGAGAACAGGTTGAAAAAGTAACGTGACAGTCGAGTGTAGAGTGATTAATCATCATCCGCCAGAGGCTGTGATATGGGCAAACTGTACTAACTTTTTTAGCATATCACTCCATGCACTCAACTACAAGGTTGCTAATGTATACATCCTTGAATTCAGGAGTCCCCGCTCCCCCAGCACAGCTCATAAAATGCATTTGACCACCTATCCTGATATCTATATTGCAATCAGCAAATATTTCCTAGTGAGCTGAATGGAAATGATTAGGATATTTCAAGATAAAGCAAGATTTCTTTTGGTTCACGAAGTAGCCATATACTTAAATCCTGTTACAATGATATCTTTCCTTTTTATTGATTCACGATGTTAACCCATCGAGATCGTTGCTCTGCGAAGCTAAGCAACGATCTTGGGATCAGTACGATGCGAAGCTAAGCAACGATCTTGGATCAGTACGATGCGAAGCTAAGCAACGATCTTTGGATCAGTACGATGCGAAGCAAGAATGATAGTTCTTGTAGGGTTTACAACCCTACCAGGACGCGCGCCGAGTTGGGACTCGTCGACGGTCCAATATAATACGGAACAGATATTTTACGAGTTGCGAGGTATCACCCGTTAAGATAGTTTCCCGCGGCGCGTCGAAGTCCTCCAAGCACTGCTAATGATGCGGTCGCTGCTTTTCCATTTCCCTAACTTTGATCTTGTCAGAGAAGCCGACAACCGTCCAACGAGCTTATTGTACCCATATCTGAAACATTGAACATGGTTCAACTAGTAAACCAATAACACCATAAATTGATTCTTAACAGCACACAGCGCGCCCAATAAACTTACGTTTTCCGGGCCATCGCGCAAAAACCGATAAACTTTCATCGCTAAGGGTCAAAGGAAAAACTAGCGATACCAGAAGATGAATCCGAGTTCGTGGAAACATTTGTGACTGGATTAAAAACATATTTTAACTGAATATGTCCGTAAACTGAGTTAGATTTGCCCTGGTATGATACAGTGTCATGAGAACTAACATTTAAGCCTCCTGTGAAATAGTTCCCTAATTCATGGAATGAATGAAATGAACAAAAAATGAACATTGTCTCAGAATCGCCTGAAATGAGCTGAAACCGATTGGGATCGATTGGTAATGATACCAGAAGTGTCCCTGAGAAGTTTGGTGGGGTCTAGCATGTTACGAAAGGGCTTCTGGGGCAATGTTTCCATTTGGTTTCAGAGTAGTTGAGAATTGAGATCGTGAAACATTTGTGACCGATTTGGAAACATGCCCTTGTAACCGTAATTCTGCCTGGGGCTGACTTGGAATCGATCTGGCATGTAGAGGGACATGGTACTATCATTTCTAACCACTCTGAAGTGCGAAATATTGCCCTGGTTCATGGAATGAAGACAATGAACAAAAATGAACATTATCCTAGAATCGACTGAAATGAAGCTGAAAACGATTGGGATCGATTGTAATGATACCAGAAGTGTCCCTGAGAAGTTTTGGTGGGTCTAGCATGTTACGAAAGGGCTCTGGGGCAATGTTTCCATTTTGTTTCAGAGTTTGAGATCGTGGAAACATTTGTGACCGATTTGGAAACATGCCCTTGTAGCCGTAATTCTGCCTGGACTGACTTGGAATCGATCTGGCATGGTAGAGGGACCATGTGACTATCATTTCTAACCACTCAGAAGTGCGAAATATTGCCCTGGTTCATGGAATGAACGAAATGAACAAAAAATGAAACATTATCCTAGAATCGCCTGAAATGAGCTGAAACCGATTGGGGATCGATTGGTAATGATACCAGAATGTCCCTGAGAAGTTTGGTGGGTCTAGCATGTTACAAAGGGCTCGGGGCAATGTTTCCATATTGGTTTCAGAGTAGTTGAGATCGGGGAAACATTTGTGACCGATTTGGAAACATGCCCTTGTAGCCGTAGATTCTGCCTGGACTGACTTGGAATCGATCTGGCATGGTAGAGGGGACATGTGTACTATCATTTCTAAACAATCAGAAGTGTGAAATATTGCCCTGGTTCATGGAATGAACGAAATGAACAAAAAATGAACATTATCCTAGAATCGCCTGAAATGAGCTGAAACCGATTGGGATCGATTGTAATGATACCAGAAGTGTCCCTGAGAGTTTGGTGGGTAATAGCATGTTAAGAAAGGGCTCTGGGCATGGTTTCCATTTTGGTTTCAGAGTAGTTGAGATCGTGGAAACATTTGTGACCGAATTTGGGGAGAGACAGCCCTTGTAGCCGTAATCTGCCTGGACTGACTTGGAATCGATCTGGCATGGTAGAGGGACATGTGTACTATCATTTCTAACCACTCAGAAGTGCGAAATATTGCCCTGGTTCATGGAATGAACGAAATGAACAAAAAATGAACATTATCCTAGAATCGCCTAAATGAGCTGAAACCGATGGGATCGATTGGTAATGATACCAGAAGTGTCCCTGAGAAGTTTGGTGGGTCAGCATGTTAAGAAAGGGCTCTGGGGCAATGTTTCCATTTTGGGTTTCAGAGTAGTTGAGATCGTGGAAACATTTGTGACCGATTTGGAAACATGCCAACATTCAAGTACTTTTAAGTAATTCACCACGAGAGTATGATAATTATTATCAGTTTAATCTTGTTCAGCGTCATCGAAAATGTAGGGTTACAAGGTTTTCCCTTGATTTTCATCCATAAAAAAGCCTTCTATTTTCGATTCTCTGAGCCAGCTGTCTGCTGGTTTTCAGAGGTGGTACCAGATGCTGCTGTATAATGGAGCGTTCAGCTAATTGAGTCCAATTACACACGAAACACTGTATAAGGCCTGATCAAGTAACTTGAGCTCTGCATCTGGTGACGTCACAAAATATCCTAGTCAGCATACGACATCGTTACGAATGTGATAACGTGTTCGAGGATTAACGAATCAAGGTCACGTGATAGGACCGACTGTCACGTGACCTCAGTTAGTCTCTTATATGGCACTAGGAGCTGCAATTGATCAGCTCTTAAATTGGGCTGCAATCATTGACAGGCCTATAATTACCCAATTTTAAATGAACGATATTTCATTCTACAGAATGATGAGAGTGTAAACAGAATGCTTCCCGAAACAGCACAATGAAGGGAACAAAATCTTCCACCCATATCCCCTAATGTTTCCAAATCGACACAAATGTTTCCACGAGTTCAACTACTCTGACACCAAAATAAAAACAATGCCCCAGAGCCCTTTCTTAACAGTCTAGACCCACCAAACTTCTCAGGGACACTTCTGGTATCATTACCAATCGATCCCAATCGGTTTCAGCTCATTTCAGGCGATTCTAGGATAATGTTCATTTTTTGTTCATTTCGTTCTTCCATAAAACCGGGGGAAAATATTTGCACTTCTGGGTGGTTAGAAAATGTTAGTAACATGTCCCTCTCCCCATGCCAAAATCGTTTTTCCAAAGTCAGGCCAGGCAGAATTACGCTAAAGGGGTGTTTCCCAAATGGGCAAAATGTTTCCAGATCTCAACTACTTGAGCCCAAAAAAGGGGAACCATTCCCCCCAGGCCCTTTTAAACATGCTAGCCCCCACCAAACTTCTCGGGACACTTTGGTTTTCATTACCAATCTTCCCAACGGTTTCAGCTCTTTTTCAGGCGATTTGGGATAATGTTCATTTTTTTTCATTTCATTCATTCCATGAACCGGGCATTTTCGCCTTCTGAGTGGTTAGAAATAATGTACACTGCCCCCACCTGCCAGTCGATTCCAGTCAGTCCGGGCGAATTACGGCTACAGGGCTGTTTCAAATCGGTCACAAATGTTTCACGATCCAACTACTCTGAAACCAAAAATGGAAACATTACCCCAACCCTTTCTTAACACAGACCCCCCAAAACTTCTCAGGGACATTTTTGGGTTCTTACCAATCGCCCCAATCGGTTTCAGCTATTCAGGCAATTCTGGAAAATGTTCATTTTTTGTTCTTTTTCATTCATTCCATAACCAGGCAATATTTCCACTTCTGGGGGTTAGAAAATTTGTACACATGTCCCTTACCACCCCAGACGTTTCCCAAAGTCGCCGGGCCCCATATTTACGGCTCAAGGGCATTTTTCCAAATCGGTCACAATGTTTCCCCTCCAACTATCTAAAACCAAAAGGAAATTTTACCCCGAGCCCTTTTTAAAACATGCTAGACCCCCCAAACTTTGGGGACACTTTTGGGTATCATAACCAATCAACCCCAATTTGGGTTTTCCCAAAATTTCAAGCGTTTTTGGGATATGTTCATTTTTTGTTCTTTCGTTCAAACCATGCCAGGGAATATTTCGCATTTCTGGTGGTTAGAAAAAATGTACACTTCCCTCTCATGCCATTCGATTTCAAGTCAGCCCAGGCAAATTTACACTAAAAGGGGCATTTTCCCCAAATCGGTCACAAAGTTTCCCCGATCTAAACTACTCTAAAACCCAAAAATGGAAACATTGCCCCGAGCCCTTTCTTAAATGCTGCCACCAAATTCTCGGGGGACACTTCGGGTATCAAAACCCAAATCAATCCCAATTGGTTTCAGCTAATTTCAAGCGATTTTGGGATATTTTTTCATTTTTTGTTCATTTCTTTCATTCCATGAAAAGGGCAATATTTCGCCTTTGAGTGGTTGGGAAATGATAGTACAATGCCCCCTTTCTGCCAGATCGATTCCAGTCAGCCCAGGAAAATTACGGATAAAGGGGGCATTTTTTCCAAAATGGGTCACATTCGTCCAATTCGTCACTGTTTCCAAATGTTTCCAAATCTCGGTTTCAGAATGCGATACCAGAAAATAAAATTTAGTTTTAGAAAACTTTTGTAATTTTGTTGGTGTATATGTCCCTGAATGAGTGGGATTTTTCCCCGATATATAGAATCATTATACTAACTTTTCATTTGTGAAATTTTCTTGATTCATGGAATGAATGAAAATAAACAAAATAACATTTTCTGAATCCCCGAATTGAGCTAAAACCGATTGGAATCGATCGGTATGGATCCTGAAGTGTCCCTGGGAAGTTTGGTGCTGCTGGTACCAGATGGTATTTTGTATTCTAAATGGGGGAAATGTTGTAAGGTCCCCCTTTCCATATCAGATGATTCCAAGTCAGTACAAGCATAAATACGACTACAAAAATTTTCACTTTTTTTCTCAAAACTGTTCATGGTTTTCCAAAATTTGGTTCCAAAATTCGGATTCATGAACTCACGATACTAAAAGTCTTACAGGTGTTCCCAAGTGACGGAAGAATACCAAAAAACGGGAAATTTGGGGGCCAAAAATGGGGCACAAACCCTGTTTCAGATCTTGGTAGCAGAGGGGGGGGGGGGGGGGGGGGCCAAAATACCAAAGGGATTTTGGGGACTAATGGGGATAAAAAAACATGGGGTAAGGTCAATCGTTTGACGTAATTCCTATTGCCCCAAAAGTCCCGAAATTTTTTTGGACATATTTAGGTTTTCAAGTTAGTTTAAAAACATACGATCGAGGGGGTTTTTGTCCAAGATAAATAGGGTAAATCAATGGGGACTAATGGAGACTTTTGGGGGACAATGGGGGGCTAAAAAACATTTGGGGGACTAATGAGACTTTTGGGGACTAATGGGGACTAAAAATCAGGGGACTCGGGGGGAAAAACGTTGACGAATTCCCAATTCCCAAATTGTCATTGGCCCCCCCCCCCCCCCCCCCCCCCCCCACGATCCCGTTCATTAAATGACGCAAACAGGGGGGGTATAGGGGATCATGTCAAAAACCCTAGTTAATGTTAATAAACATTTTTAACAGTTTTTTGTGGGCCTAGAAGAATAATTTAGACCCCCCGGGCGGGGAAAAAAATTTAAATTGAGACTTTTTTTGCTGTATAAAGTTGGGAAAATTTTTTCGAATAATTTGGCGTAAAAATACATGAGGGATAATGGGAAATTGTGAACATACCCGATTTTTAAAAAGATTTACAGCAAAACAGAAAAAGAAGGGGTTTTTAACTGCTTCAAAGTAATTTTATGCAAAAGGGCGAAAACAAACCCAAAACTGATAGGAAACCGTGCCCACTCGCTAAAAGGGAAGTATAAAATGCCGCACATTGTCGTGTTTAGAGTGACCCTTCTAGCACAAACTGATATGTACTCCAAAACACTGAAAAAAACGAACATTAACTAAAAAAACTTAAAGTAACCAATGAACAACAAAATGCACTTAACTATTTGCCGCTATCCAACCCCAGGGCCAAATCCGATCTCTGAAAGTAAAAATCTGATTTCATTGCATGTCTAATTTCTACAAAACCTAAGTTTTCATTTTCTTTCTCCCAAAAGAAAAACAAAGGGGCATCAGATATTAATCTCTTTAAAAAAGCAGGGGCCTATCCTTTTTTGTGAGTAGTTTGGGAGGGTTTTGTAGCCATCCCCCGAGCTGGGGGCATTCCGTTTGGGGGGAAGTTGTACCCCCCATCCGCCCCCTCGGTCGCCATCTGCGAAGAAACCCAGCAGTAGGGCTGTGGGGAGATGGGGGTTGGGACTTATCCCCGCATCTCTTCGGAATGAAAATTTCTTTTATTTAGTCAATTTTGGCATTAAATAGTTCCATATATAGTGTTGTAATTCAAGCTCCGCTGATGTATGTTTTTCCCGCCAAATACACAAGTTTAGAATCGAGAAAACTAGGGGACTCCCATTTTAGTTTTTGTTCCATATTCCAAAAAAATTTCAAAAATGCAAGTAAGTAAATTAATATAAAATGTATATTTAAAATTTTATTTTAAATGAAAGGGGGTTTTTACCAGAGGAGGAGGTGCGGAAATTAAAAAGGTTACGAATGGGCCCGGTGTGTTACACAACACAGCAGAAACCCATTCTATACCCCTGCACAGAGCTATGTTAAATTTAAAAAATGTAATATTTTGGGTGGTGAAATAGGAATTTGATGTTACAAATATTAAAAAAAAGCATTTTTACTGTCTAATTTCCCAAACTTGGAGAGTTATGTTTAAATTCCCTATTGGAAAAAAAACACAAGAACTCGATCAATCAATAAAGGGGGGGGGGGGGGAATGTCTTTTTTTGTCTTTTTTGAAAAAATAGGTGCAGAGACATGTCCTGGAAAACTTGGAGAATTTGGGGACACGCGTTTTGGGGACATTGGAGACATTGGAGACAAAGCTTTTGGGGACTTGGGACATTGGAGACCCCTGGAGACGTAATGTTATTGGGAAGGAGGAGGGCTGGGGGGAACCCGGATGGGCTCAGGAGGGGAAGGAGGGGTGAGGCTCAGGGAGACTCGAAAGGGGGCTGAGGGGGACTGAGAAGGGGGGCTGAGGGGGAGGGGCTGGAGTCTGGGGACCCGGGGGTTGCCCGGAGGGGCCCCCCGGGGGGGACAAGGGGGGGGGGATCGGGGGGGGGAATCGGGGGGGGGATCAGGGAAAAGGCTGGGGGACGAGGAAAAAAGGGCTGGGGGAGTTTTAGGAGGGGCTAGGGGGTCGAAGGCTGGGGGGGGAGGGAAAAGGTGAGGGAAGGGAAGGGGGGCCCAAGGGCGAGGACCCCGGGGGGCTCGGGGAAAAAGGGGGGCTCGGGGCTGAAATAAAAGGCTGGGAAACCCCGAGGGGGGGAAGTAGGGGGGGGGGGGACGGGGGGGCTGGGATCGGCTGCGAAGGTGGGAGGAACCGGGAGGGGCTGGGGCTAAGGTGAAAGGGGAAACCCGGGGGATAGGGGGGGGGCTGGGAGACGAGGGGGTGGCTAGGAGATGACTGGGGGAGGGGGAGGGGGGGGGAAGAGGACGAGGGGAAAGGGCAAAGGGGGAAAAAAAACCAGGAGGGGGACCCGGGGGACTCGGAGGGGGGAGGAGGGGAAACCGGGGGATGGGGGGCTGAGGAGGGGCTGGGAGTTTCGAGGGAAGTACAGGGGGGGGGGGGGAGGGGAGAAGGCTGAGGGGGGAAAGGGAAAAGGAGGAATAGGGGGAGGAGACCCCGGGGGGGAAACCGGAGGGAATTGGGGGGAAAAGAAGGAGGAGGACGGGAGAACTGGGGGGGAGGGGGGAGGAGGGCGAATGGGGAGGGGGGGGCTGGGGAGGCTAGGGAGGGGGCTGCGAGAAGAGAGGAGGGGCTAGGCTGAGGGGAAGAGGGGGAAGGGGGCCCTAGGAGGGGGAAGAGAGGGGATGATGAAGGATGAGGGGGGAGGGGGTGAGGAGGATGGTTTTAGGGGGGGAGGGAAGGACTGAGGGTGAGGAGGGGGAGGGGGACTGGAGGGGGGGGACCCGGGGGGGGGGACTCAGGCGGGAGGACTCGGAGGAAAGGGCTCAGGGGAGGGCTCGGAGGAGGACTCTGAGGAGGAGGGGGAGGAAAAGGAGGAGGAGGGGGGCAAGGGAAGGGTGAGGACTGAGGAGGGGGACTGGGAGTACTGAGGAGGTGGTTTGGGGGGATGGGTGAGAGGATGGTGAGGAGGGGGCTGGGAGGGATGGCGGGAGGATGCTAGGAGGATGTGAAGGGAAAGAGAGAGGATGACTGAGGAGGATGACTAAGAAGGAGGATGAGGAGGAGGAGGAAAAGGACTGAGGAGGAGGAGGAGGAGGAGGAGGAGAAGGACCTAGGAGGAGGAGGACTCAGGAAGAGGGGAGGACTCAGGAGGAGGACTCAGGAAGAGGACTCAGGAGGATGACTGAGAAGGAGGAGGACTGAGCTGAGGAGAACTGAGGAGGAGGAGGACTGAATAGGAGGAGGAGGGGGACTGGGGGAGGACTGAGGAGGAGGGGGACTTGGGGAGGACTGAGGAGGAGGAGGAGGACTGACGAGAAGGATTAGGAGGAGGACTGAGGAGGATCAGGAGGACTGATGATTGAGGAGGAAGAGGAGGAGGATGAAGAGGAGGAGGAGGACCCAGGAGGAGGAGGACCCAGGAGGAGGACCCAGGAGGAGGACTCAGGACGAGGAGGAGAACGACTGAGGAGGACTGAGGAGGAGGAGGAGAAGGAGGAGGAGGAGGAGGAGGAGGAGGAGGAGGAGGAGGAGGAGGAGGAGGAGGAGGAGGAGGAGGAGGAGGAGGAGGAGGAGGCTCCAAAAGCTGTGTCTCCAATGTCTCCAATGCCCCTAATATCCATTTTATGTCCCTAATGTCTCCAATGTCCCCAATGTCCCAAATGTCTCCAATGTCTCCAAAAGCTGTGTCTCTAATGTCCCCAGTGTCCCCAGTGTCCCCAATGTCCCCAATGTCTCCAATGTCTCCAAAAGCTGTGTCTCCAATGTCTCCAATGTCTCCAATGTCTTTGTCTTTTTCGAAAAGATAAGGTGCGGGAGACATTGGAGACATGTCAACCCCCCCCCCCCCCCCCCCCCCCCCATTAATCAATAACAAACAAAATATTGATCGTTATTAAACATACGTGTGGGGTTAGTTGCACTCTCCGGTACGTGACTCTGCCTGTCCGGATGAGAATGCACTAAAGTGCAACACGGCTCACAATACGGCACTGCGCTGTACTTGTGTTTAAACTCCTGTTATAAAGACTATATAGAATAAGGTTTGCTGCTTCAACTGTCAATTCATAACTGGGATTCTAGATTGAGTGCCAATTTACTAATAAATTAATTACTAATTAATAAGATAGCGAACCTGGTTGATGTAGCATTGAGGGCACTTCATGAAGGGTTTCTTGTTGCAGATATAACAGGAGCCCCAGACACCACCACAAAGACCTCCCAACTGAAGCTCTGCACTGGGCAACACTGTGTCGTATAATTTGAAGTCTTTTCCTGATCTTGGCACCTGATATATATATAATATAAGGTTGGAGTTTAGAGTTTTGAAATTGTGTAATCTAGGTAAACTATAGGTAAAAATATAATATTAATCATAAGCTAAAATGTACTAATCTTTGTATTCTAAATGGGGAAAAGAAGAAACATTGTCAGTCAGTCGAGAAAATTGTCAGTCAGGCTATATGGCAGCTTTATAGATGTTGTGACTATGCTAGTAGTGGTCCCAGGCTTGCGACTGGGAGATGTGACAGAACACTACCTATACAGCTATAGTGCCCAGCCGTCAACTATAGGATATAATAGCTCTGTACTTCTTCAGTTCAATAAATTGTATTTCACGGCATCCGCCCCATATTATGTACTGCAGTACTGTAATAGATTTAAGAAGGTTTATTATTCACGTGATCATTGTTAGAATGGTTATTGGTTAAGATAGCTATAATTTATATATGATAGGAAATAATCAGCAAACAAAGTCACTAAAAATAGAAACATTCTTGCTAATATATAAAGAAGTTGTCAGTTAACGGATGAACTCCTAGTATTTTGGCCTCTTACATTTGCACAAAGAAGAGATGCATGGAATCAGTATCTATGTTATTATATACCGTTTTATTAAACGAACCAGCGCCTCGTTCTATTTTCTAGTTTAACATCAACTTTTCGCATTTTTAGTATACAAATTATAGTTTCTCTTGGGGTTTCTACTCCAAAATTCATGTGATGAGCATGATGCTTTTTTCACTGATTATGAATAATATTTTCGGGAGAATATATCTTAAATATATCTTATTATTTTCTTAAATCAGAAATTAAAGAAGTTTCCAGACCCCAGGCTCAGGTCCTCAAGATAATCCGTTGATCTTATTAATGTGTAGTTAAATGTGTAAAAAGGCTCCCCTTTTCACAGAGAGAACCCTTACCAGTATAAGTAGTGATTGTTAGGAATTCAGTTCGCTTACCCAGCCTCATAACTCTTACTGCTAGTCTTTTGCAAATGATATAGAATAATGACATGGTCTATACTAAGAGTTCAAGTGCAAGTTTCTATTTTTACCTTGTGAACCTGAGCCATAAGTGTACATCCTGCACAATACCTAGCAACAAGAACATGTAAATCAAGGATTGTAAATGCTGTTTACTCTTGTGGACAATGGACATCACCGATAACGGTTTGTGTCGGACAGAGGGTGTATTGAACAAATGTACGATTAACACAAGATCGCATGCACACTGCACAGTTAGGTTCTATTACCCATCATGGTGAATAGAAGTGATGGATCACTAAGGGACGAAATGAATTAATGTGACCTCGAAGTTTTGTAATCACTCTTTCCTTTGTGACACATACCCCTACGCTGATGAGCTAAAAGCTGATTTGCTGATATTGAATAAGGACAATTTCAACATAATATATTCAGATTTTCATTTGATCAAGAGCAGTGCAGTAGTTAGAAGGATAATAATCTCCAAATATGGACAAAACATAGATTGCGAGGAGCGACAAGTGTCAGACCAGTAGTAGTCAGTACTTATTAAATCCAAGGGTTGGAGCTTGACATCACCTAGCTACATGAAACGTGACATTTAAAAAACAAACTAACATTCTCATACTGCATAGTGCATAAAAGGATTAAATGTGATGTTTTAATTCGTGGATATTTAATGTACGGTATTAGTTACTAATCATGAAATAATGTGCTTATTTCCCGCCCATATGAATAGCAGCAGGCACAATATCTAGCTACTAACCATGTCAGAGCGGCTCTAAAGGGTGAGCGAAAAAAACTAGCATGAAAATGAATATGTTACATGTTACATGGCGAGATCTCCATCCAAAAGGATTAGTCTGCGTCATCTGCGTCATTACTTTGTATTATACAACTTCGGCGGGTAATATTTCTCCATCCTTTTCGATCTGCAGCCAATCTTCTCATACAATCAATCGTGAGTCCATTACGATCCAATCTCTGCTCAGCATCTTCAATAAATACATCATTTAAGCTCTTCCTAGGCCTGCCTCTTGATCGTTTCCCATGCTTGGGTTTCCATTCAAGTAGATAGTTAGGTAACCGATCTTCAGGCATTCTACTGACATGTCCAAACCAACGTAGCCGTTTTGTTGCTATTATGTCAGTAAGAGCAGTTATTGAAGCCCTTCTTAAAACATCTTCATTTCTTACTCGATGGAACCACCTCACTCTCAGGATTCTGCGTAAGCAGTACTGATGGAAAGACTCTAATCTTCTTGTCTGCACTTGAGTCGTGTTCCATATCTCACTTCCATAGGTCAGAATGGTAAGAACAGCTGCGATGTAGATTCGCACTTTGTTGTTAATGCTTATGTTCTTATTCTTCCAAATGTTATTGAGTTGGTTAAAAGCTCCGGTTGCTTTTCCAATCCTGACACTTATTTCTTTATCGATCTTGCCATCCGATGTAATTTTGGCACCCAAATAAGTGAATTGAGTGACCTGCTTTGCAGAGTTTCCATCGACAGTAATATCTATGGTCCTATTCTCTGGGAGTGGGTGCTGCGACGTATCTTTCCCAATTACCATGATCTCTGTTTTCTTTGCGTTCATCTTTAAACCCCCAAGCCCACAGTATTTCGCAATATTGTCCGTTGTTTCTTGCAGTCCCTCGACAGTGTCATCCATGCCTGCTATGTCATCAGCATAGTCCAAATCAATGACACATTTTTCCGGTTGTCTGGAACTTTGTCTGTACTGAAGAGTAAAACCACGCGATATATTTTTAAACTTCTCGGCAAGTTCTAATCCCCAGTTAAGTACAAGGTTGAAAATGGGAGGCCCTTGCACATCACCTTGTCCAGTCCCCGAATCGACATCAAACCATCTTGTCAATTCCCCATTGACACGAACTGCACTTTCAGTTGCTCTAAAGAACGCTTTGAAAACATTGATGTATTTTGTTGGAAGACCATAATGTTCAAAAGCTTTCCAAATAAAGTCACGATTGATTGAATCAAAAGCAGCTTTAAAATCAATAAAGTTTATATACAAAGGGACGTTGAATTCTATACAATTGTGTATTATACAATGAAGGGAGTATAGCTGATCTATACAAGAACGGTTTCTCCTGAAACCACACTGATTTTCTCTAAGTAACTTTTCAAGCCCATTACTTAGTCTTTTTAACAACACGATTTGAAATAACTTCGATACGGTGGAGCGTAGAGTTATCCCTCTGTTGTTGTTGCAATATGTGAGGTCCCCTTTCTTTGGGATGATGGTGATGATTCCTTTCCTCCAATCACTAGGAATATCCTCACTTTTCCATACAGTTTCAAACAAATCTTTTAACCAAGGCAGAAGTCCAGGAGAACCGTACTTTAACTGCTCATTTGAAATTTCATCAATTCCAGCACTTTTGTAGTTCTTCAACTTCTTGATAGCTTCCTCAATTTCAAACAAGGACGGTGGCTCATCATCATTACTAAGATATTCAAAAGAAAGTACCTTTTCGTCCTCATCCAATAGAGAGAAATCCACCGCATCTGCTGCTGGCGTCAAGAGTTCTTCAAAATATTCGGCCCAGCGATGTGACTGAGCTTCGGGATCTGATATAAGTGTCCCATTCTTATCCCGCACTGCCGCAGATCTGTTTACTCTCTTGTTTGTAAGGGATTTTATTTTCTGCCAAACATCTCTTTGTTGACCCTGCTTGGCAGCCTCTTCCAATTCCTCAGCTACTCTAACAGCCCAGGCATTATCATCTCTTTTACAGTTCTGCCTAACAAGACCGTTAATCTGCGAGTACTTAGCACGATTCTCAGCAGTACTAGGTTTCTTTTTAATCTCACCTCGTTCTTTTAGGAGATTCTTAGTATCCTTTGAGAGATGTTCTGTTCTCTTTTTCCGGCCCCTTTCACCCAGAACTTCAAACGAGATATCAGTTATAATGTCTCTCAATTTCTTCCATTGTTCTTCTAAAGGAGAGTTTCCAAGCTCCTGATCGTTGGTATAGTATTTTTCAGCTATTTTGTTACTATATTCCTGGCTCTTAGATCTATCACGCAAGTTCTCTAAAGCAGGCTGTCTTACACGCTTCTTTCTTTTCTGTGGACACTTAAGCTTAATAGATACATATCCTCTTACCAGGTAGTGAGTAGTATTTATATCTGCTCCTCTCATGCTCCTGACATCAAGCAATGAATGGCTCCATCTCGTTGAAATACAAATATGGTCAATTTGAGTGACGGTGTTACCATTTGGGGATCTCCATGTTGTCTTGTGGATATCCTTGTGTTCAAAAAGTGTGCCTCCGATCGTCAGCTGGTGCATAGTACAGAAATCTAGCATCCGTTTTCCGTTATCATTGGATTCTGTGTGATATGAGTGTTTTCCTATAACACCAGGGTGAGCATCAGTGTCCCTTCCAACACGAGCATTAAAATCTCCTAAAACTATTTTTATATCATGAGCAGGTAGTCCCGATTGAACATCATTCAATTCCTTGTAGAATGAGTCTTTTAAACTGATCTCTGCATCCTCAGTTGGAGCATATACCACTGTAACACTAATGTTGATGTGTTTGCTATGTAAACGGGCAGTCATAACCCGTCCTGATACAGGGGTGTATGATATGAGAGTATTCTTCATCTTTTTGGACAGTACAACACCGACTCCTTCTCTCCGTACCCCATCATTCCTGCCAGAATACACCAAAACAGCCCCATTTCCCAAAGTCTGAGTTCCCGATCCAGCCATATGTGTTTCAGTTACCCCAAGGAGCTCTAGTCCATAATCATCAAACCCTTTTCCCAATTGATACATCTTGCTGGAATTGCTGACAAGAGAAGTAACATTCCATGTACTGACACAGAGAGGATTCTTTACAATATTTACAGGATTAGACATACTTGACTGTCTGTTTACAAATGATAAATCTGATGAAGGAATTCTGTATTTACAGTGTTTACGTCGGCTCTTACGGGAGTTGCAAACAGACATCAAGCTACTAGGGTCCTTTCGGCTTTGCCTAGTCGCCGTCATCACTCCACCTGCGCCTCCACGTATAATACTATTGAATGACACTGTAGACGTTTCTGTAGCGGTTTGATTTAAGGTGGATGGTTTGCCGGACCTTCGCACCCGATCCAGAGGCAGCACCGACATCAAAATGTAAGCCCTCCGTCCGGACACCAGCATGCTGGTGGTTAGGTTCGATACGTAAAATAAAAGCATGCAGAGCTTCTGAAGCCCTTAGGGAATCAAAATTGAACCGTAAGTGATCATGTTTGAGACACGATCACCAAGCAAATGCTCAATTACACAGGGCAACCAAGACTTGGACAATATGGTGAACCGTAGGTGACACACAGATGACCCTGCCACAAGACAGCATCACCAAGCACCACCCAGCAAATGCATCCTCTCGCCACCACAGCAACCGACCCCCCAGTGATATAGCACTGACAGGCAATTAACGGTTTTATGGTGTTACCACTCCCAGGTGATCTGTGCTAACAGACTCGGACCAGATGCAATGGGGAGCGAATATGACAATGTCGCAAATAATTTAATTCACTCTAAAATCTTGTTCTCACAACAAATAATACCACTTCTGATATAATAGCTTCAAGCCTTCTTTTGCCTTCTGATTCCAACTGCTTTGATTTTACTTCAATTAGTTATTAATATAATTACTATAATTAGTCTCGCAACAGTCACATAACAACAAGAACTTTAAAACCACTTCGTCAGAGATTCACACACTCGAGAACGTACCGTGTAATACTTACATAGCAAGTTATGTAGAGAATTGTACCGTGTAATACTTACATAGCAAGTTATGTAGAGAATTGTACCGTGTAATACTTACATAGCAAGTTATGTAGAGAATTTTACCGTGTAATACTTATATAGCAAGTTATGTAGAGAATTGTACCGTGTAATACTTACATAGCAAGTTATGTAGAGAATTGTACCATGTAATACTTACATAGCAAGTTATGTAGAGATTTGTACCGTGTAAAACTTATATAGCAAGTTATGTAGAGAACTGTACCGTGTAATACTTACATAGCAAGTTATGTAGAGAATTGTACCGTGTAATACTTACATAGCAAGTTATGTAGAGAAATGTACCGTGTAAAACTTACATAGAAAGTTATGTAGAGAAATGTTCTGACTAAATTAGGACTGGGGAGGCGACTCAATGTTCTGCAAATGTAATCATACAACTAAAAACACTATTCTGTAAACAAGGTGGTGTTTTCAGACATTCCAGCAATTAAACACATGTCAATACACGATGTATTCCAACATGCCAAACTTTCCACAATGTTCCCATGACAATTACACGTGACACGTTCACTTGCACGGCCGTACACGCCAAACATTTCTACAGAGGACCTCTTGGAGATATCCCACACTTAGTGTCTAGACTCTCCAGATAGAATTACATTGGTCCCCTGGTGGGTCCTGACTCGATTTGTACATGGATGAATGGGTTGTTTTAATATGCCCGCCACCTTGTCACACTACGACACACCTGTCACTTTATGACACATATATTGTCACTAAATGAAACGCTTGTCACAAGGTTAGAGGTTGGGTGGGGTCCAATACAAGAGACATATTTTTTAAAACTTTCATCGGTTCATCCATAAATGTTTACGATTTCCAGATTTTTGAAATGTTATGATTATTTATATCGAAACCTTAAAATTCTTCCCACCCCACTATCAATGAACAGATGCTAATGAATTAAACCAAAAGAACTGATCTCGTTGATCTGCAGTTGACGGACAGTGTAAATAACAACTTGCCAGACAAATTGTCACATATCTTCACCACATCTCGCAGCCCTAACTGTTCGTTAAATACACCACATCATGTACGGCTTCTTCCGCAGCAAATCTGAATTTATATATTGTATTTCATCAGCAGGTCCACTGTCAACTTTGTACCATGTAAAAAACAGTGATCTAATGGGAAATTGTAAATCTCCTCCTGAGTAATAAACAAATGAGAAGAGTTATAATTGTACGGTTGATTAAACCATACAGTGTGTAGTGTCTGATTACAGGCCTCGTTATCACGTACTTGTTAAGGTGAACTGTCGCGAAGATTGGAGATTAAAAAGTTTACGGGGGCTGGCTGTTATGCAGAATGCACAGTGCCCTAACTTTAGCATTTAAGGTATTAAAGTGAGCTTTAAGATACAAAAAAAAACTTGAGAACAACTGTTAAATGGCAAAGTATAAGTTTCACAAGATGATGTTCATCAGTGCCCATCTTAGTGATAGGTTTGCTACAATTTATTGAGTCTTAATTGTGTAGATTTACAAGGTAATGTATAAAAACAAATCGTCTACCAGGCCCTTCATTTTTTACATTTAAGTATTTGTGAATAATTAATCGGTCGATAAATTTAGACGTGTTGGGTGGTACAGCCTAGCATAGAGGTGAGTTTTTACGCGTGTATGTGATTCGCAGATTTTATAGGTAGCTGTCAGAAGTTGTCGGTGAATTGATATCACATGTTTTAAAATATTTGTCACCTGACCAGTTGCAGTAGACGTGACTAAGTTCATTTAATCGAGATAAAAAAACTCAACAATTTGGATAAAAGATTATGTTCGTTGATATTGGCCGTTAAGATAAAGTTTTCGAAGTTTCTAGTTGTTACTTCTAGAACATTTAAATTTTCCAGAACCCAGATGTTATACAGTAAGTTTCTGTGAACCACTTTGGTACCGGTATTTTGTTGAAACTGTTTATTTGAAAGTGATACCCTTGAGTATAAAATGTACATTTAAAACATGAAAATTAGAACGCAACAAAAATGTTTTGGTTTAACGGTCTAGATAGTTCGAGAATGTTCCGGAATGTTGGTGCTGAATATTTCTCAGAATTGAGGAAATCTTCTTGGTTCGAAGAATGATACAGTGGCAGGAGTTACTAATATTTATTACTATTTACTGTATATTTGAGCGAGTGATCTGAAACAGGGCGTGTGTACGACATTGTTCCGGCACTATTCCGGCACTGTTCCGGCACTGTTCCGGCACTATCCCGGCACTGTTCCGGCACTATGTACCGTCGGAAGAGTTATAGACGGGGATGTCACCAGATTCATGACTATAATACAGGTGTAATAGGTCATACTATAATATGGGCGTCATCTTTACTTACTCAATGATAGATTGTGCTATTTTCAGTAACCTCGCGGCTAGATCATTGCAGGTAAAAGGTAATTTAATACTGTTCACTAAACTTTTAGTATTATATTAATAGTATGCTCACTAAACTTTTAGTATTATATTTATAGTATGCTCACTAAACTTTAAGTATTATATTTTTAGTATACTCACTAAACTTTAACTGGTGGTTCACGTTAACGAGAACTAAGTTGGACCCTGACCAGTGGAATTAGAGTACTGAATCTGTCTGTGAAGCCCTGAAGCCACTAATGACTAAAACTTTGCTGTTTAACTCTTAAGGAGATGAACTGTCAAGAGCTAACAAGCTCTATAAAATGAAATATAGACCGCAAAAGTAATGAATTTCGTCGATGACCTGGAATAAAACCCCGAGTCTTAATACATGGTCAGACTTCGTCTGGCTTCAATTATAATTCCCTGACCCCAATCCTTGGCTAAAGAGGCCAGGTTTATTTTATCTTGGGTACGAGTATTGTTCATTACAATAACTTGAGCCATTTATACCTAATCACTAATTATTAGCATTGAATACCGTATGATGTTCATTGTCATTTAATGGATTATTTATTATGATCCTACTTCCTAGACTACATAATTACCCTCTTTTCATTATTTATACAATAAACTTTCAGACCTTTCAATGAGCAGACAATGTAAAATGCTGGCACATTATACCATGCAATTTCTATTGCATGGTTGCAATAAAAAATTGCTATCCTTTTGAAACTCAAATCTTCTTAATTTGTTAGCGTATTTATCAATTAATAAAATAGAGCTTGACCAATTAAACAACATACCTGCAAGAGTAAAAGATCAGGTTGAGTGTGAAAGAATAGGTTTTGACTGACAAAGTATCTTGTAAGTAGATCCTGAGTGTGCGGCATGGTGGAACTGTGTGGGTCTCTCTCCAACAGTATCTGACACAAATTCACATGCGAGATCTCATTAGCGCCGTCCCTGTAATTTTAGAAATGTCTGGTATGATTAAAATGTAACGTTTGAGGGTCAGATCAACAACGTCAATGTTTAACATGTTTTGTAGTGTGCAGGGAGTGGCAAGCTCTGTAGTTTTGAGGGAGAGTTGTACAGGGTGGCCCGTAATTAACTAATGGTAATTAACATGGTGACATGGGTAGTGTATAAGAAGCCCGACCATTTCTCGCGGAATTCTGCGGGAATTCCACCGAAATTCCTCGATATTTGTGGCTTTTCGTGTTTATGTGGAATGGTCGGGCTTCTTTGAAACGGCCTGACGATATGTTCTGTTGTACGAGCTGTTGGTACGAAGAATAATTAATGTTATTTTCACAATAATGCTGGGCTAACTTGTACAATTCTGGGGTGGCAGATATAAGGGTGTATACTGTTAGTTATATTGATATATTGATATAATATATATATATATATTATATATATTGTCGATATAAAGTTCAATCACCTACATTACCAGATGTCAAGAAAAAAATATCTCTAGTGTAGGAGAACACTGTGCAATTTATAGCCTGTTACGTACATAATGTATAGTATTTTATGTATAATTAATGCACATAATGACAAAAGCAGTGTTAGGACATGTTGTTTAACGAGAGAGATACCTACACAAATTTCCTGGTTTGTATATAATACAGCAGATGCAGTAGTGACTCTCTACAACACAGAACACTAACAATGAAACATTTACCACAACAAACCTCACCAAAGTTCAACTTGTAAAGTAAGAGTTCGTACCTGAATGACAGAAGAGGTTTGATATTGAATATCTCGGTGAATAAGACGTTCAGCAACTCCTCGGGCTCCTTCTCTTCATCCTCCAACCCAACTAAAGTAGAGCTCTTGCTCATCAAGTCCCGTAATATCCTCATATGATCCGCCCCCACAAACCCACACTCACGCAAGGGATTAACAACTGATTCTCTCAGTATTTTCTGTATCGTCTGATTAATGTGACCGTCAACGGGGGTTGACAAGATGTAGTCCATCGTGTTGGTAAAAGCGAACATTCCATATAAAGTTGCGTCTAAATAGCACGAGTTTTTATTTCCCTGTATACCTCTACTCCGGCCAATGTACATTGGGGATATGTACTTAGGGGGGTCTACCTTTCCCTCAATAACAGGACTTTCTTTTGGTCCGAAGTAATTTGTTTTAATTTCCGGCTGTACTGGCATTTCTTCAAATCGCCTGTCTTTCGAACAGTCGTGAAGATAACAGAAGAGAGCACGGAAGGGCGGGCATGTGAAATACCTCACTCCCTCATACATTCCATTGTTGCCAGGTGGTGATATCTCCTCCTCCAGCTCCAATCCAGCACACAGATACTTCTTACCGGGCAGGTGCCCAATCCAACGTAACACGCCGTAGTGAACTACATTGCTTTTACTGACTTGTATCATGCTGCCAACTTCTAACGTGTAGTCTATCTCTGGAGGTGGGTCCGGGGTCTCGGGAGCCAGCTTGGGGCTGTACGACCTGGCTTTAGTGGAGGCTAACTCTACTCTGTGAGAGTTATCTAACATTGAGTCCTCAACAACATTACTGCCACCAGCTAACGACAGTGTGTTTATACTGTGAACTAAATCAGCAGGTAGTTTATTGTTCGAGGGAGTGGGAGAGCGCATTCTGAAGGCAGACTCAAAGTCATGTTTGGGTGACTTGACGCGGGCAGGTTTTGGGGAGCGGGGTATGGGTTGCTCACGTGACTGGGTGTTACTGACGACAGGGTGAGAGTTAAAGGTATCGTTGTAATTGGGAGGTGGGCTGGAGAAGTCGTTGGAAACAGTTCCTGCTGTGACTTGTGGAGGAGCTCCGTAAGATGCTGATCTGTTGTGATTAGGTTGAGAAGCCGGGGTGGGACTCTGGACTCGGGGTGATTCGTAGTAGTGTTTGGGCATTGCCTCGGTTGTGTCACAGAATATACCAAACCGAGCTTCACATGTGAACATCTGCCGACCCTTGTACATTCCGTTGCTGTCTCCCACAGGGTTGTCTAGTTCTATTCCTAATATCCACTGTTTTTTTGCGTCCTGAAAATAGAAAAATTATGTTACATCTGGGGAGGTGTATGGATTTGACGCGTCATTCTCTTTTCTGAGAGTAAACTTTGGAGGGATCGAGTTATAATGGTAGAAATGGCCAGAGAGTTATAGTTGAATTATTGTTGAAACCTGAAAGACAGCTCTGACGACGCCGGGTTCTGCAGGTAACTTCTTCTTTAGTACTATCACCTGATCTCCCTCACAGAAGTTACACGTCACCTGATCTGAGAGGAAATTGTAGTGACAAATTACAGATCAATAATAAGCATATAAAAATATGTTATAAAAGTATGTTATAAAAGTATGTTATAATAGTGTGACATGTAATGATCTCTTGCCAAATAACCTCCCCGCTATCCAATGTTGTGCTGTTCAAAGACGTGGCTTCTAAATTCTAAATATATCTATTATGCAAACTTCAGGACAGGCAGGTCTTTATACGTATGTGACACACAAAGTAAATACAATTCTAATGTTCACAGCAGTACAGTGTGTTTAATAAATGTGTCATGGAGGACACTTCAATGCTGATATATTGACTCGGACGAACGCATCCACGCAACCACCCGCCCACCCACCCACCCGCCCACCCAACCACCCACCCACCCACCCACCCACCCACCCACCCACCCACCCACTACAGTATAGTAGTAGTATAGCTGACAAATACAAGTGACAAGACGTGTAGATAGCTGATAAAACATTTTTATTTGACCATCTGACTTTTCACTTTAGTGGCAGTAAATGCTTGTTGATTGATTGATTGATCGAGGAGCACTACCCGGAGGCATTACTCGGCACTAAAGCCTTAAAATATTTAATTACAATCAAATATAAATATACGCACACATGTATCAAATATGATAATGCTATAAGCGAATTTTTAAATAACACTTATCTCTTGACATAAATTTATAACAGCAACTGTACCAAATTATTTAAATTTCTAAAAGTACGAAATTTGAATCGTTTCAGTCCTTGTCATTCGGCTCAAGTGCTTGTGCAATGTGCAGTAAGCAGATTCTTGTTGACTGTTATAGACTCGAATGAATTTAAGAATTTGTCTTGTAGGCAAGTCGTGATATAATTTATGTCCTTGTTAACAAAGTTGGCCGTTTTGGTTCGTTTAGTGGCAGTAGATGTTTGTTAATGTTAAGATAAGAACCGTGTGAGAAATTATAATTCTTTTGGCTCCTCTTCCTGAAGGAAAATGGGAAATAATGTCTTTTGAACATATCATAACATGACAGATGGTTATATGATGTACAATGAACATATCATAACATGAGAGATGGTTATATGATGATAAAAGCTTTGAACATATCATAACATGAGAGATGGTTATATGATGTACAATGAACATATCATAACATGAGAGATGGTTATATGATGATAAAAGCTTTATGACGGACGTTCGAACAAGTTCGTTTCATGATCGATGGTTAAGAAAGTTTAGCTTCTGCGGTAAAAGCTTTTCTTAAGAAGAATAAGTCGAGATGTCATAATGCAGCCATTAGTAACGATCAAAAAGCGAACTCAGCAACGTGACGGCTGACACATATTTTACTAATTAGTTTACTTAAGTTTTAGAAAAAAAGGCTCGGACGAGATTTAAAGGTATCTCACCAGAGTACAGTGAGCAATTCAACACAGCATCCCGATAACCATTATCAAAGTCACCAAAAAACATTCCCAGCACAAGAAAGTGAGATGATTTCCAAGAAGTGCAGAAACGAAAACGAACAAAAATGCGACTGAAAACTTGTACGATGTCTAGTCTATAAAGATGGTGTACATTGAGGCGTGCAAGCTGAGCCGAGCACGTTAATTCGGTTTAAAACTTAGCTCGTACAGTACATTCTTAACATTGAGTGCATCACTTGAACCTTCAAGCAGACGATCATATAATGCAGGCAGCAGCAGGAGTAAACAAAAAACAGTCAACTTTAAATAACACAAACTCTATAGTATAGACTATAGAGTCTATACTTCACGTTGCTACTCGACTGACGTTATGCATGTGACCTTGACGGTTTTGTAAACTCTGATAGTATTCTTAAAATCTTACTTGATTTCGGTTCAGATCTTCTGGCTCGAGCACTGGCAGGGAGAGTTTTAGATACTTTGGTCAGGGTTTTGTCTTTAATATCCCCCATGTTGCTCAACATAGATAGGGTTGAGTCTTGAAGGGAATCCGACCCTGTATCAAATGTTTATTGCAATTTTTGCAGTAAAGGTGAGGTGAAATAGTGATTAACGGTTGGTAAGTTATAATATTAAACATAACTGATTATGTGTGAAGACATTGGAAATCAAACCCTTAAACTTAGTGCAACGTTATTAATTAATTCATTCATTAACAGTCTCATATAAAATAAAACTATGTAGCAGAACTTACCTTTGATAGATATCTCATCAATAGTAGCAAACACAACAGAGCTAACAGGACAGCGCTCCATGTAGAAGACTCCTTTGATAGAACCATCACTATCACCACAACCTAAAATGAAATATTATCAATAAAAACGTGACACACTCTATTGAAGGCTGTTATTTTACCCAACTAGCGTGTGAAAGACGAGAATTAGAAGAAAATCATCAGGAACAGAAATATTACAATGAAGTTAGCTACCTGCAGCTAGACCAACAAGTTTCAGGCCAAACCACACTCCTAGTCGATCCTTGATCTCACCTCTGTACTTCAGCTGCAGAGAAATTAGGGTTAGTCAATTTTTCCAATTAGAGGAAGATATATTTATAATTTAGTTGTAAGTATAATGGGCAGTTTCAATGTTAAATTATTTTACATGATCGAAAGGCAAATCTAGTCGATGTTAAACAATCACCCTTAACAAGTAGTTCTAGTTGTTAAATGTCATGTTCTTTTACCTAACCTTTCATTTAGGCATTGAGTGAAGACGAGAAGTTTAATAAATTAAAATCTAGATGTAAACAGTGAAGACAGACCTCTCCCACTACAGTCGTATTCTGTCTACCTCTGCTGATGTTCACAAGAGATCCCATTGGCAGTGTAAGTAGCATCTTGTCCAGTTTTGAGAACGCCTCATAGCGGCGTGAACAAGGGATTACCGGAAGCAAGAATTTAACTATGTCGTAGGGAACCTATAGATTAAAAAAAGCCGAATGAAACTATAAGGAATTAATGAGTTGCTGTAGCAATTAACAAAAAACAAATTTGAACTACAATTAAAAAGGTGTGAAAAACAGTAAAACAATCAACCCACCGTCTTTAAGTTTTTTTCGTGACAAGTATAGACTTGAGAAGAATCCATGAGCAGAGATATGGTACATTCTTCGCCATGACTACTGATTACAGTGACTATTTCTCCCTTAATAAGCTGACCAGTCCCATGACCAGTGGGGATGGGAATCGCCTTGCGCAGGAGGCATACTTGCTGCGCAGGGAGGCTAACTGTCATGGTCACTCTGCCATGCCATAGTGTCTCTTCAACAGGGCTTTGGTTCCTTGTACTAGATCATTTCTTTTTCCTACATCCTGAAATATGTAAACATTTTAATCACTGCCACATGCAGTCATTGAAAACAATGTACAGTTTCATTTAAAAGAACCATAGTTCAATAAATGTGTAACCATCAAAGTGAGTTTAAATGAACATTCAGAAGAAAGATTTGGTTCATAGTAACTTGAAGATATAATTGCAAGGGACGCATTATTCCAGAGCTCTATTTCTAAGCTTTACTTTACTATTACATTTGAGAAAACTTTATTATCAAATAATTAAGGAATAGTGGTTTCTCATTGAAAGAATAAACACCCACATGGAACTATTATTTTGAACTATAAACTGAAGTAGTGCCTGCAAACGAAACCAGTTCCTTGCTCTACAACATTACCCTGCTAAGTTTCGTTACACTCAGCCTACTCAGCAAGTCCACTCATAATGGAAGGACTTCTTGAGCAAATTAAGGGTTTGAGGCCTGCTTTTTTACAATCAGTGTCAAAACGTACTTGTGAAAAAAAAACCGCCCCCTGCATAGCGAGGGTGGTCGTGTTGCCACTGAGTACAAGCAACCCTCGGCCTCCAGTCGACTAATCTGATTTAACGGAAAATCCGTTAGTGAGGGTTAAACGAGGAGCAGCCTGCCACAAATCTAGAATCTCCTTAGGGTAAACTGTAGACCATACTTTACTATACTGTATTGATCTAGTAAATAAATTATGTCGAAATGATGCTTCACTCATTTACAACCTGCTTATCAGTTAAACAAAAATTCAGTTAAACAAAAATTCAATTTTATGCCATTTATTACAGAGTAAACAAGTTTACAATAAATCAATTTGATATTTAAAGGAATCCTAATTCAATGTGTAGTATGGTTGTCACTCTTTAAATAGATTAGATATAGGTTGACGGGGCAAAGGAGTGTTCGTGCTGTTCGCTATTGCTCACACCAAACGGCAACCTAGTAAAATTTTTGTATGGACACCGGTCTCCATCACGATACAAAATTAGGATTGTAGAATTTATTGTATAACTTTTAGTGCAGTGGAGGAAGCGGTGTGGTGCATTAATAGAGTGACAGCCTACTGATTTAGAGTTGTTTTTACGTGAGCATAATGGGTATATTTTTGGACCTAAAGGCTTTACTATGGCAACTTTAAAATTGGTTCTTTTAATCATTTTATTAAATATCACTTAAAAAATATATAAATCTGGAATCTGTTCACACTGTGAACCAGTCCTATAAAAAAAACCTCTCAAATCAAATATTTAAAACGTCTCAATAATGGAAATAGTCATACAATTAAGAAATTTACCAAATTCTTAATATCTACCTTAAGAGAAAAATACCTACCTAAGTCAATGTCTACCTGTAATACACTAAATATTAGGTTAAATACATAGGTGGTGGAGTCAGCACACATTTACCAAAATCAAAAATTTGTTAATAGGAGGAACCTGTGGGCCGAGAAGTGAGACCACTGGATTACATTTGTTAAAGGGGATTGTTTTCAAATGACAGCTGCATAATAATAATAATAATAAATTAATGTTATTTTGATACAGCACCAAAAGGTTAAATAATTTAAATTTAACCCTTATGCTCAGCTGTAAAAGATACCTAAATGACAGTAGAGATCGTGCATCTCGCCTTGGACTGGAATTAAAAACGGAAGTTTATAGCTACAAGTTAAATCCTGACTAAATAAGGCAGAAACACCTTTAACAAGAAGATATCCAAGAAAGGTTAGCAGGTTTTCTAACAAAACATATGAAAAATAGATGATGACCACAAGAAATCTATGTATGAGACTCCAAATATATATAACTCCAAATATACAAACAATCTGAATACTTCAATATACAATACAAAATTATTAAAAAGCTTACTGCAGAACAGTAACTGATGTTACAGAAAATCCAATACAGTCATGTCAAATTATCTGGGCAACATACAAGTCTAGAGACGGTGAAATAAACAGAGTGGAAGAAGATGCTAAAATACTTGAGACAAAATACAAAGAATAAGGCAGCTTTCTCCTGGGTGCCAACCCAAAAAATGTTGGTGTCCCGGGATAGAGCCTCCTTTTCTGACCTACACTAAAATTTTGTTGGCAGACACAGTGAAACACGGAAAAGAATAATATCTCGAATGTTGCCCGAAAATCCTGAAAAATTAGTAGCCTAAAATAATTTAATTTAAAGCGTAAAATTGACCTGCTATAGGATGAAGATTTTAAAAATCTTCTGATAATGTATTATTTACTCAGTACATATCAAAGGACTTTCTAAACAGATGAGCTTTTAGTTTTCCCTTAAAGTCATTGATGTTTACACATTTCCTGATTTCTTGAGGAAGGTTGTTCCATAATCTTGGAGCAGATGAAGAGAAGGCTCTTGGTGGACTGTTTATAGGGCAATGAAGAGACACATCTCTGCCACCACTGGGATTGTACTTGACAAGGTTTGACAGGTATGAAGGTGCTAGTCCATGGAGCAGTTTGAAAGTTAGCAGGAGTATTTTAAATTCAATACGTTCTTGTACCTTGAGCCAATGAAGTTCTTTTATGTAGGGCTCAACTTCTTCTCTCCTCTTTAGACCTTTAACTAAGCGACATGCTCTGTTTTGCAGAGATTGTAGCTGTTTCAAAACAGAATGATTAGTACCATAGTAAAGTGCATTGCAGTAGTCAAGCGAACTAATAACAAGAGATTGTACGATGATTTGCATTTGATCTTCAGAGAGGAATGGTTTCATCTTTGCAATATTCCGCATCTTGTGGCAGTTTGCAGCTTTAAGCTTCTTTATCTGAGGATTTAGAGTCAGAGAGGAATCCAATGTAAAGCCAAGGTTTTTGGTAACGTTAACAAGTCTTATACAGACAGAAGATTTTAGGAAGACACCACCAATTTCTAATTCTGACAATAAACGTTTTGAACCAAAAACTATAATTTCAGTTTTAGTTGGATTTAGAAGAAGGAAGTGATTCGTCATCCAGGTCTCGATTTCTCTAAAACAGGAGGGCAGGTCTTCGCTGAGGACTTGATATTCTGTAGCGGATGAAAATGACTTGTAGATCTGGTGATCATCAGCATAGCCATGGATCAGAAATTGCTTTGATTTTACAGAAGAGTAAATTGAGCGGATGTAGATATTGAACAACACAGGGCCAAGGACAGAGCCCTGTGGGACACCAAACTTTATTACAATTTCTTCAGATTCTAGGTCACCTATCTTGACTTTTTGACAACGACCACGGATGAAGCTGGTGAACCATTTCAAGGCTGTTCCCGCAATCCCAATCTCACACTTCAATATATTGATCAGTTTGATATGGTCAACTGTGTCGAATGCAGCACTCAGGTCTAAAAGCATTACAACTGTTGCTGTGTTTTCATTAGTGGCTATGAGGAGGTCATTGACTATGGTAATGAGGAGTGTTTCTGTGCTGTGATGCTTTTTGTAACCAGACTGGTGGTCGATGTTGAGATTATTCTTGGCTAGATGTTCATTGAGGCATTTTAATACAAAGCGCTCAATGAGTTTACCGATGAATGTAAGATTAGAGATGGGTCTATAATTCTTTAAGTTCTCAGTGTCTAGGGAATCTCCTTTGATTAGGGGAGTGAGATGTGCTAGTTTGATTCCCTCCATACTTCCAGTTGAAAGAGAAACGTTGATAATATCACAAAGGGTAGGGAGGATTAGCTCAAGGTGCTCTGACAAGAGTTCTTTAGGTAGTGGATCAATCGATGAGGTTTTGATGCCAGATTCTTTGATCAATTCTCTTACTTCAAAAATAGTAGCTTTTCTAAATTCAGATAATGCCTGGCCATTGAAGTTTGGAGAACTATTAGTCACAGTAGTGTTGGGAAATGATGTTCGGATTTTCTCAATTTTTTCAGTAAAATACTGGTTAAAGGCATTTACAGTTTCCTGAAGATTTTCTGAAGATGGTAAAGTGAGGTTCTTTTCTTTATCCAGGAAAGTGTCTACAAACTTGTAAAGGCTCTTTTGTGAGTGTTTGTATTTTTGGAAAGTATTAGAGAAAAACAGTTTTTTCTTTTTGAGAGTCAGCTCTGAACAGTGTTCTCGCAAATGAACAAAGATATCATGATCAATGTCAAGACTTGACTTTTTCCAGGCTTTCTCAGCCTTTCTTCTGTCGGCTCTTGCAACTTTGTATTCGCCATCAAACCAGGGAGCAGTGGGAATGTCTTTGATGGTTTTGGAATATTCTGGAGCATGTACATTTAGTATATGTTGACACCCATTGTTAAATTGAGTCACAACATCAGAGAAGCTCTTTTCTTCAAAAACCAACTCAGATAGAGCAACAGATAAATCACCTTTAAATTGTTCCTGATCTATGTCTCTGATCTTTCTAAAGCGTATGACTTTCTCACATTTGTCAATGTCAGGAGGCTTATGAAGCTGAAATATAATCGGATAGTGGTCACAGGATGGGAAGCTTTTGGCCATGTTTTGCATTACCTCAACAGAAGTTTGATCTACTACTTTGTGCGAAGAAATAACAGGATCAAGGATGTGACCTTTTTTATGTGTTGGTGAGTAGACAAGTTGATGAAGCCCAAAAGATGATAGTATGGTGCTCCACTCGCTCACATGGGCAGAGATTCTGTCTAGGTGCATATTAACATCTCCGCATAGCAAGAAATGCTTGTATTTTGAGAATGCATCCGCCAGGAAATCTTCAAAATCAGAGAGGAAATTTCCCAAGGACCCAGGTGGACGGTAGACACAGGAGCAGAAGACGACAGACCCATCAACGAGTTTCAGTTTTGCGTTAATTGCCTCAAATGATCCGTCATTGTTGGCAAAAACTTTGATTAGACGAACACATGATTTGTAGATTATGGCAACACCTCCACCTGATTTGTCTTTGCGATACACTTGGTAAAGTTTATAGCCATAGTTTTTTATTATTGCAGTGGTGTTGTTGTTCTCATCAGTTAGCCATGTTTCTGTAACAAAGAAAATAGATATGTTGTTATCTTCTAAAAAGTTCATA